TGGCAAAGGGTAGCTTTTGCATCAGCGGTTCCAGGCTGGACTTATTTAACTCGTAGTTAGGCAATGTATAGGTCGCCCACCAGCACAGAATGACGGCCCTTTACTCAAGCTTCTTGAGGCGCAGCCGAACGTAACCACCAGTAAGTTGGCAACCTCTCTAGGCTCCACCTAACTGACAACTGCCATGCTTCTCCGCAATCTCGGTTATCGGAAAATTTTTTGTGAAGGATGCCTCATGAGTTGGACCCGTCTGACAAGTCATACCGAATGACCGTGACTGAGTTTTCTTTTCCTTGTACACAGCGAAAGAACTTTTGTGAGATCTTGTGGTTGGTAGCGAGTGGTGGAGTCCTTGCGTACATCATGCACATGTCCCTTGCAGGATCTCTCAAACAGAAAAGTAGATTGCTTAGCCAAAAGAAGATGTGCATGGGATAAAGATTTCAGTGTGTTATTGGTGGGACTTCAAAGCGGTATCGCTGGATACTAGCACAGCTGTAAGGATCACAGTCCACTCTAATCAACTTCAAAACATGGATGACGTCACGCTTGAATTCATTCAATACTCAATTTTTCTCTACTACTCGGCAATGCGAAGACCGCATGTGGGGATCAGGCTACGCCAAAAGATCATGGATTTCGATCAGAGAATGCGACCGTACCCAGGTTATTTAACAAAGTTAGCAGCCTCTAATTACCACCTCCTTTGGTCCCTACCGCATCCTTTAAAAGCAAAAATTCCGAAAATCGACGTCTACTCAAAAATGAGGTCCACCTCTTTTATCATAGTTGCCGTAGTTCTATGAGAATGGAAATGAGAAGCTGTGCAAGAAGGGCACTAGTCCTAGTCATCAACTGCGGTTACCTTGTAGATTGGAGATGTCTTTTAGTGAAGAAAATTTAGTCCGAAAATTTGGTCAAAGTGTCGCAGGACTTTTCGAACAACCTAATAGAATGCGCTAAAGGTGCCAAGCGTTGGCAGGTGTTTTTTATTAAGATTTT